GGTATAAACATTTTCTCATCATCTTAAAGTAGACGTATTTCTAAGCCTATCTGCAAAAAATTAGAGTTTTTTATTCAAAATTTCCGAAGATATGTTTAATTTATATATTGGTGCGCTTTGAAATTTGGCATATTTGTTGAAAGCGATAAAATATAAAATGTGGTTTAGACACTTTGCTAAAATTATTTGAAAGTAGGAATGATGAGACATTTTTTTTCCGCTCATGCACAATGTAAAATGGTAGGATAGATTGGTGGATTGTGAATACGGCAAAGCACACTAGGACTATCTGCCTAAAGGAAGGGATGCCTTCGTGGAGGACTTTTTAAGGGAAACTGGCTCGTATGCACGTTACACATGGGGAAAACCACGAAAACGCCCATGCAGCCAGCCCGTTCGCGGGATTCGAACCTTGGACAGAACTACCAGTGTTCAGCGACCGCTCGGCCGCTGGTGGGCCTCTGTAAAATGGTAGGAACAAGGAGACTTTTTTTACCCTCCGGCATAATGGAAGGGAAAGGAAAATTGGTTGCCATATATAAGAAGTTCGCCATTCTTCGTGCGAAGTGAAAAAATTGCGCCAAGGTAAATTTTTGAATTTTTTCCGTAAATTTCGCATCAAATTTTACAAAATTTAATACCTAGGCATAATTTGAGTCGTAGAATCGAAATATGGAAAAAGAATTGGTATGTTATTTCAGCAAAAGTCGGATTTTTGTGTCAAAATACCTATGTTAGAACAATGCTATATATAAATCTAATATATATCCTAAGTAGCGCTTTTGAGACATGAAAAACGCAATTTGAATTTTGTCAGTCGGCACAGTAAAAACGGGAGATCCTGTTCCTTTTTTTTTTTTTTTTTTTTCCCCTCCGTGTACAGTGTTAGCAAGAAAAAATGCATCTTTAGTTTTATTGGAACTTAAAACAATATTCTTAAATATTTTGGGTATAATCACACATATGTTAAGCAACATAATAAGCGAACTTTTACATAAAGGTTTCCATTATATTATCGTAATTATATCAGTTGTCTACATGCGGAACTAATACCATTAAATTAATTCGTATCTAAACATATACTATTAAAATTGTAAATCTTTCTTTCCTTTCGTTCTTTACGCATTTTACGCATCTGGAGCCAATTTGGTCACAAACACAGAAATACCTATTAATCATTTCATGTTTTTTAACTTTTTATTTTATTAAAAAGATAAGCAAGGTATTTGAGACAGCTGTGTGATTTACACATCACTCGCATCCATACTGCTAACGAAGTGACATCTGATACATGCAGAAAACTGAGTTCTTATCAAAAGAAAATCGTTCATGTTTGCTCAGATATTTTCAATTGTTTACACTTAAAAACACAGTTTTGGTTTCTTCCTTCCGTCATTCTCTTACTGGTACTGCAATACAAATCATATTTATTTTATACGAATACATTTGTAAATTTTTCTTGCTACCAACAATAAAAATTTATTGGATTCTGCTTTACTTCAGATTTAAAACAAGCTGGGGATAAATTTAATTAGGAAAATGACAAAGATCATACGGAAAGATATTAACAATTATTTTCCCATAATGTAGAAGATTAAAATTTGAATTTAAAGTATTTCTTGTATAAAGCACGAAATGAAATAAATAAATAAATAAACATTATCTTAGTACAAAATGAGAAACTCTTTTCAAAATGGAAAGGACAAGTTTCATTTTCAGAGACAAAGACAAATTTAAAATTTTTAATTATGCGATGAGTATCCTCCCTAGGAGCACGAAAGTAACTTTTAGCGACAGCATAGGCCGTGGAACATAAGGTCATGGAACACTTACATGATCCAAAGCAAAAGTGAAAATATAGTTAAAAAACAAACATGGGAAGAGAGGGTCAAAGTTTCTGAAAATATTTTCTGTCTTAGTTACCTGACAAATGTGTTTAACGGCCTTTCGAAGCTGTTATGTTTCCCCCAAAAAATATACACTTACGCACTTTTTCTTTTATTACGACCGGTTTGCTCAACATTTTTAATGTCCTGAACACAAACAGAATTTCCTCCTTTCTGAATCTTTTCTCCTATTTGTCAAAAAAAAAAAAAAAAAAAAAAAAAAAAAAAAAAAAAAATGTGGGGTTGAATAAAGGCAACCTATTAAAAGGTAACATGTCATTTGCATTTGAAGTGTAAAATATTATATACTGCAATAAGCTAAACTGCTCAGGTCGTTGTACAGAATATTGAACTGACCAAAGAGATGTCAGAGAGCTGTAGAACGCCTTTCCGATAAAAATTTTGAGGATCATGGCCCTATAACTCTGAAATTAAGATTGAAATTTAAAACTAGTAAAATTCCAGTTAAAGGTTTTTCTCTTTGTTATCTTTGAACAAATTTTGTAAAAAAATGTTTTTCGTTTTGATCAATTTGATTCCAACGTTTCTCAATAAGACATATTATTGAGATAATAAAAAATAGCTTATTTTTAAAAGTACGGTATTAAAACGCACGTTACTTATTCATTCTTAAAAAAATCTCAAACCTGACTTTTGTGCAGATTTTTTCCTGGTGATCAAATTAATCATTTAGTTATGTCTGATAAGATCTTTATTTTAAGGGCATATGGAACATAAAATGGTTCAAATTTTCGATTTTCCAATTGTAGTCTTAAAAAATAGAGCAGACTCAGACGATTCCATAAGTATATATTTTGTATAGATTTGAAATACATAAGCACATAAAATACGGTATTTAAAAGCGTAAGCAAACAGTGCCTTGCCCCATCCCCTCGGATAAGAGATCAAGTTTTTCACTTTTTTCAGCATTCGTGCTCACTGAAATGAGCAACTCCTCTTTTTTATTTTAACCTATAGTTTATTCCCCTTCTTTCTCGAGTAGCCAGACTACATTTTTCCCCTTCAGTGTTTTCACCAGCTGTGGGAACAGATTTTAATGCTTTGTTTGTTTACAACGTGTGTATGGGAACGTTCACAGCATGTTTATGGGAACGCTTTACATAAATTGTTTTTGTCTCAGTAACCCTTACGGTTTTTCCCTTTTTCTGAAAATTTGCTTTTATGATGCTTCAGTACACTTTCCTAAAAATCTGTTTAGAGTGTTCAAATGTTCCCAAATTGTACAACTAACCTGTTTCATTAAAAATACCTAACATTATAGATGTGAGTGAAAAATTTGAAAATAACATGAAAGACATGCTCTTAAAATTTTTGGGATTTTCCAAGTTTTTTGGTAAAATATTTTAAAATTAATTTTTTAGCCAAAACGAAAATTGCTTCTTATTACTCTCAAACAGTATATTTTCTGCTACAACACCAAATTTTAAGGTGATAAACTTAATGGTTTTTTAGGAATGTGCATCGAATAGACAAATTTTTCAAAAAAATTCGTATAGCTATATAAAAGTTAATTAGTTTCAAATTCATTTATGCAGCTGATTAATTTCTTTTTATTTACACATGAACTGTAACATGTATATTTACTGTGTGCAAACAATTTCAGTTATATCTATACTTTTAAACAAAATACATGTTGTTGAATATTTTGCAAAAACTGCTTCATTTCTCCTGTCGAGACGTTCCATGTGCCCTTTTAAGATAAAGTACACAAACTGCACAAAGCTCGTCAGCCACTCTTTAACTTACAAATTTAAATTTATTTTTAGTTTGCAGGTAACAAAAACATCTCCATTTCTGTAAAGAAAATATTTTACTACAGGATCGGTCTCCAATTTCTATAGCAAATTTGTTAATTTTTGAAGAAAATTTTCAAAATGAAAAAAGAAAAGCAGTTTACTAAACAATATTCATATAAAAGTTTAAAAGAAGCTATATTTTAGTAGATTCGAATTTTTACAGAGAAAATTATATAAGCATTCTATACTTAAGATTATGTTTTACTGAAATCATTGGATCGCAATTTTCATGGCGGATTGCCTAGTTTTTGAACTCAGAGAGTTTTAGCTCAGAGAATTATATCAAGCAAGTATAATTTTTTAATACTGCGTTGTGCTGGAAATATTAATATGTTTTTGAAAGTTAAGGTCTGTGTTCAAATTAGATGTGTAAAATTGTCTAAAAGCTGTCATGTTTTTTAGTCGGAAATATATTACATTCATTGGACGACTGTTTAAAATTAAACATTTTGATTTAAAATTCTTCGCTGAAGTATTTTGTTTTTTTCACTTTCGTTTTCCATTTTAATAAAATAGAATTCTCTTTTTATAAAACAGTGTTCTTTTTTAAGGTTTTTCTAACTATTCTAATTAAAAATTATTTTTTTTCATTGCTTTGGGAAAGGGCCAGAATTTTCGGGTGAACTATTATAATTAAAATATATTGAAATGGTTCGTCAGCTAATTCTGGATCCAGAAAAGCAAGGATTTTTGTAGAAGAGGGAATTCAATTGATTTCAATGTTCCTCCCCCTGATGCAGTAACATTGAAGTTGATTGAATTCCTCTTCTGTTTTTGTCAATTTTTTTGTTAACTTTTCTTTAAATTTCATTAATATTTTAAAATGGGGTTTTGCTTGTTTAAAAGTATTTTGGTTTTAACATTTTTAAATTCTTTGTTGCAATTATTTGAAATGTATAAATTATGAATTCCGAAACACAGTTCAAAGCATTGGATTCTTTCAGGACTACATTCAAATTCAAAACACTATTTTACCTGCTAAAAATCCATGTAGTAAAAGACTATATAATTCTCTTAATGCGATTATTGAAACTGACTTTTTGCAACCATCTCAATTTATATTTGATAAAGACGGTATTCATTAATGCAACAGTAATGAAGATCAAATTTTTGTTAACGTTGCTAATGTTACTGATGATCAAACCTTTCCATTTGATCTTTCACACATCTCGAACTTTGAATTCGCGAACTCGATTCGCGAGGAAGTTCAACATATCGTTACTCCTCACAAACCATACAAAGTTAATACTGCTATGACAGCTTTTATGCCGATGACGATTTGGATGATGACAATGACATGGATGAAAATGATGATATTCATGACGTTGATCATGTTGACGAAGATAATGCTAATGAAGGTGATTTGATGACATTGATCGTGTTAATGAAGATGACTTTGATGGTGTTCATGGTGTTAATGAAGATGTTGATGACGCTGACCATGTTGAAGATGATGTTGATGAAGGTGATGTTGATGAAGATGATGTTGATGAAGATGATGTTAATGAAGGTGATGATTATGGCACTCATGAAGCTGATGGTGATGATGAACAACAAAGTGTGCAAAATACTGAAGAAACTGCGAAAAATAAGTTGAATCAGTTTAAGGATGTCCTAAACAAGCAAAAGAGGCCACATCTGCTAAAAATGCAGAAACTCCCAAAGAACAGAAAACCAGACAAATCTCTGAAGGCGGAGAAGGCTTCTTATTTTCAGAAGACTGTTGATGAAGCAAAAGATGCAAAGAAGGGAAAACAATTATTTGCATTTTTGGAATTTGAGAGTGAAACTGAGGAAAATCACATGCTCCTGCAAGAAAAAAATTTGCGAAGTCAGCATGCTACAGTAGATATTGCTGATGTGAAAAGCAAACCAAAAGAAGCAAAGAACAGGAAGAAAAGAGATATAATCCAAGGAAATTATTTGTCTTTGACATTCTAACGGATACTCAAATTGGAGAAATTGCTGAATTTTTTCCAAAAGCATCTCAGATAACTCTAAATTTATCCCCTGCACATCGAAATGCTACCGTAAGTTACAGGAAAATGATGCAGCTGAAGCTGTTGAGACAACAAAGAATGCTGAAATAGCTAGGAAAAAATTACTGTGTTATATTCTTCACGCCCAAAGAAACGAAAGAAAAGGACCTGAAAGCATAAACGAAGAAAATTTGAAAGGATTTCAAAGAAAATGAAATTGGAGACACGGTAAGATGAAGAAAAAGCCGCGTTACGTATTGAAGCTCAACAGAACATCATCCTATTACAGGAAAAAAGTATACGACTGTATAAAAAACATCGCAAACCTGCCTGTAAATGCCAGCTTAGAGACCAAATGCTCAATACAACATGAACTGAAACTTGGACAGCAACATCATTCCAAATTCTTCGGTCCTTATAATGAAAGTCCATCCATTTGATTGTTATGAAGTACAAACGATACGCCATAAAAGGCCCCACCGCAACGTCAATCTCTGCTGATAAGATGAAACGGTGGTGCACAAAATTGAAAATTCGCCAACAAGACATTGATTTTGGTTTTTCCTTTTTCACTTTTTCTGCTGGTTTTGTTTTTTTCTTTTCAGATCTCTTGTCTTCAACTCACAGCATCATTTTAAAGATTTTACATGCATTTAGATTGCACACTATTTACGAAAATTTCCTGTATATGGTAAATTAAATTAAAGATATCATTACACTGCTTTGAAACAAAAATTTAAGAACAGCGCGTAATTCCAATTTTACTTAAAAATGCATCCATGGAACATCCTAGAAACTAGTACACTTCATTGCCGTAAAACAATGTTCTGATCTCATAAATATGGCCCCGGCTTGTTGGGCAGGTTTCATTTTCGGAAAGTGGAGGAAACTGCGAAACGTCCCTCCTTCTATTCTAATCTCCTTGCAGAAAATTTGACGATTTAAAGGACATATGTTTCACTCGGCAAAGTGTAATATACTTGTCTTTTTAATTAATGAATAATTCAGCGATTTAAAAAAAAATGTGTTGCGAGTGACCGAAATAAAATATTTTCATATTCAACGAGCCTGCCTGTTGCCGGTTGGAAAAGCCTAAGATATTTAATTCTGTTTCCCACTTAATCCGTCTGCTATTCATTAACAAATTATGCGATTTGAAACCAAAAGATCTCTATTAATATTAATTGCTAGGTTGATTATTGAAGTTACACTATCTGGATTCATTAAAACCATTATACGTTATTTCTATTTATAATAACTATTTTAGGCATCCAGACTCTTGCGAGGCTGGTATGCAAAATGTTAACGATGCAAAGTGTTCATCAATAAAATCTCATCCATTAAGATACAAAGAGAAATAATATGAAAGAAAGGTAACTAAAGCCCAAAAGGGGGGAATAAATTCCCCCAATCCTAGCAAAGGATGCAACATTGCAAAAAGACAAACAATGCAAAAAAGAGTTCTTTACCCAGCGAACGGGACAAAGAAAGAAATGAATATAGCTCATATCATCATACAATCATGGATTTATATCTCTCTTCTGTTTTTCTCTAAAGCTTCGCAGTAATAGAGAATATAACAAAGATCTTAACTTAAGCAACAACTAACGGTTCTGAAATTCGATAAAATTATGTTGTTCTATGACATACAAAGGAAAATAGGCTAAGAAGTAGCTAATATCGTAGATTTCGCTTTTAAAGTACAATTAAAGTAAAATACAGTTCTCGTCTTTCCCAAACATATCTGCTATCATGCTTCGAGAAATAACTTTTCCCTTTCAAATGTGTTCTCTATTGATCTTTCATGACCCATGAAAAAAAAAATGTCTCTGGCTTCATGGGAAGGCGTAGAGTAGCTGAGTTAATAAGCAGTGGGATGCAACAACATCGTGTCACTGGTGGACTTTTCTTAGATGTCGCCAAGGCCTTCGATAGAGTACGGCTGGATGCCCTCATATACAAATTACACAACCTGGGACTCCCAGGCTACATCACAAACATAATTAAATTTTACCTAACCGGTAGACACTTTGTCGTTCATGTTTCTGGTTCATTGTCCACAAACCGGCCTATACGGGCTGGTGTTCCACAGGGATCCCTTCTAGGCCCTACTCTATTCAATATTTACGTGAACGACATTCCCACTACACACTACACAACACTAGCCATGTATGCACGACACAGCGATCCTTACGCAAAATGCATTTGTTAGTTCAGCAATACAACAGCTACAACACCACATCCACTCGCTAGAGACTTGGCTGACCAAATGGAAAGTCAAAGTGAATGTCGACAAGACACATGCCATACTGTTTACTACTAAGAAGAATTTCCCGATTCACCTGCAAATGTATGGTGTGGACATTCCCTGGGTCAAGCAGGTCCCTTATCTTGGGGGTGATCCTCAGTAAATCTCTTACATGGAACCCACACGTTACACATATTCTCAGGACAAGGCACCCTGGTGGTTAAGCACCGCAGTTCAATTGTATGGGAAGGCGTAACACAGTATTAAATCAAACGGCAAATGCTGCCAAAAAGTAGTTATTTCTTGATTTTCCTTATTTCTTGATTATCTTCTTGATTATTTTGAATTTGCCATTAAAATAGAAAGAAACCAACTCTTCCCGTTGTGTTCTTGCTCGCTTATTATCGTCATTAAAAGCAACTGCTAACCCGGGGTTTCGCAAACATTAAGTGTTCCGGGAAAAATTAGAAAACTGAGGTTAGAGAACAATGAAGTATTGTCTGTTTTCGTGCATCTAACCCTAAAGTAACTCTTAAAAAAATTTCACTAAAAAACATAAAACAAAGCGGTTTAAATCCCGGTAAGAAATTTAGTCATATAGCACGACACCAGATTATTTACCATAGCAAGGAATTACTTACAAAATGTATTTCTATTAGAAATGGGCAAAACCGCTCTTTCATTGGATCCGATCAGAACCGTTCACTCAATGAACAGAATCGGTTCTTATTTATGATTCACCGCTCACTAACAATAACTTTGAAAAAGATCGCGAACTACGGGTGAACCTACAACGGTTAGCGCAGAATGGGATCGGGAACGGTTAGTGAGGTTGGGCGAAAAGACAGACTCGATCCTAAATTGATTTCAACTGTAGTTTTTGAAATTTCCTAACACTTCTACACAGAACAAACAATAAAAGTCTAGAATAACATTTTTTAAAAAGAGTTGGGAAATGATAAAAAAATAAACTCACTTTTTAACACGAGAGGATAAACATCCTTTTCTTACCTAAAAAATCTAAATTTCCTGGCACGCTTCCAACACCTCCTTGCTCGGTGGGTGTGAACTCTCCGCTCTTTCTCCGCCAATCAGGTGTTCGCTCGGCTCGCTCAGTCAAGTGAATCAGTTTTATGAACAAATAGCATATTGCTATTCCTGGCACACTTCCAACAAGAGCTCTACGTGAATATAAAAGAACTCAGTTACGTAACGCAAAATACTTTTTACCTTTGAAATCGGTAAGTAAATGTAAAATTTTTACTAGTACTGACTAATATTTGCAGTATTTTTGTTAAAAAGTGCTATTGTTTTAAAAACATAATTTTGTAGTTTTCCATTTTGTTGGATATATATATATTATGATTTTCTTCGTTAGAGAATAATAAATCTGTCTCTTTTCCCACCTTAGATGAATGAAGAAGGTTTAAAAACATACAGTAAAGTTTGTAATGAAATATTACAATATTTGCTTGACTCGCAGTCAATATTTCCCATACTGCCGTGAAGACAATTGTTGGATTCGAAAAATCCATTTACGACAGCCAAACTTATAGATATCAATACATATGATTTCGAAAAATTAATTAATTTGACAACTGATTCGGTATAAAACAAAAATTTAAAGAACTATCATTAAATGAATTTTTAATAAGTTAAGCACAAAAATATCCGAACATATCAAAACGACCGACTCATAGTTTACTTCCTTTTATGACAACGTATTTGTGTGAGGCCGAGTTTTTGCATTCCTTGTTATAAAATCCAAATATAGAAATCGACTTGATACTGCATCCGATATAAGAATTTAAACTTTCTAACCCTGCCTGACATTAAGAGAATTTGTAATTCGAGGAATCACTCACATCGAAATTATTGAAAAGTAAAGATGCTTTTAATTTTGCTATATTATTTGTTTCATTTAGCAAGCTTTATGTGGCGTTTTCTCTAAAATTAAGAACTAAAAACTTTTTTATAGGTTTGATATAAAAATTGGAATAAATGTTCATTTTGTTTATCAAATATATCTCCGTTATCATTTATTATAACTAAAAGCCAGAATTTATTCTAGCGTTCCTTAAACATTTTAAAACTTAGAAGTGTTCGCGATGAGAAAAGTACGGGAAACGATGCGTTAATGACTAAAAAGAAAAAGTGCGATTATCTCATGATTAAAAGTGCGGCCGAGCGCTGAGAGCATCTGAAAAACCAGCCTACAGCTTCTCATTTCAACATTCGAGCACCGGAAAAATACTAAAAAGCGCAAAACTAAAACATGAGCTATTCGGAATTTTCGCAGACAAAAATAAATAATGTGAGATTGTTTTAATGGCTTTTAACATTGAGGTCGAATGAATTCCTCTTCTGTTTTTGTCAATTTTTCTTTAAATTTCAAAAATTTGTTCTTTTATCGAAGTGGGGTTTTGCTTGTTTGAAATGTTTTGTTTTTAACAATTTTTAAATTCTTCGTTGCATTTTTTTTATTATTTTATATGATAAATTTATGAATTATGAATTTCAATTTCTGGTCTTTGTGAAATGTTAGTTATAAATTTCTTACCTAATGTCTTTAATGATAATTTTTCTGCATCTTAATGCAGAATGCTTAATGCGCGAAAATACTAGGCATGTTTGTGTTTTGTTTTCAAAAGAATTGTTTTGCATGCAGATATATATATAATAATTTATTTACTAAAAAAATATTGATTATATTA